GCCCCCGAAATCGACATGGACGCTGAATCCTCAACGCCCCAAATGCAAGGCGAAATCACCATCGGAATCTCTCTCGAGAGCGCCGAATCAGTATCTGCACAAATGGCACAGCTATCTTCGTCCCATTCTTCCGCAGGCGCATCGTCCTCAAATCCTGGAACCTCTTTAGTTCTCTCCAGGCCCCAGCCTACGAATACGGATACGCTGGTCCTGGCGCAACGCATAATAAAAAATGCGTTTAATTTCCTCGCGAGTTTTAGCGGTAATATCATGGATGCGGGAAATGGGAAGGGGGTGGAAGTTGTGCCTCTCAAGGCGTTTGAAGAGTGGTGGAAGAAGTTTGAGGCGAGGGTGAGGAATGACCCAGGGTTTTTGGAGAAAGATGGGGATTGAGTGTTCCATCCCAAGCAGGAATGTAAAGAAAATGGTAAAGAATGAAATGCGTTTCATAGAGAGTAGATGCGAATTGGGTGGATGGAGAGAGATAGGGAACTCAGATTCATCTATCATGCTTTGAGCATCTTTGCGCGGGAAGTTACACAATGGGGCCGTCGAAAAAAAAGGCAGGATAGAAACAGGAGAAAAGCAAAATAAGCGGAGATGCGATCCCCCCTAGTGATCATATTCGACCATTCCAGGACAGAATGGGGATTTGCAGAAATCACACAGAGCTCTGGATATAAAGGCGCTATTTGCACGACATGTTACACGTCAGGATTAGACGGAGATATCACAAGATAGTAAATAATAATCATTTCAAAGAAAGATGTACTGAATCACACGAATCAAGCGAATTGAAGTTTCGGGTAAGATTAGTGATGAATATTATGTGCGTTATTGTGATATGTGCTCATGTCATGATAAATACTACTGACTCAGATCACATCACATAACATAGGTTAATCTAATGATACAAAAGAAAAGACAAAACTTTGTACTACTCCTCGCGATAAAATCCCCACGCCCTTGAGAAAGAAAAGAGAAGAAAAGAAAATCCCACCCTTTCTGCTGTCAAGTATGAATATGCTCGTACCGTACGAACATACTTCAAATCCCCACCACAAACTGATGAGTGTCATAGCCAACAAATCATTCTGTGCACCCGTTCGCACCCATCCTGTTAAGTTCCTACTCTCACCCTTTTCCCCCACTATGGAACAAAAATCCTACTGAAACTCACCACATCCCTTCTACAACAAACACATTTATCGAAATTATTCATCGCAAGCGTAACACGACAATCATCGCATAAGCTTAAGCAACGACAAGGCCACACGATCACACTTCTGGGTGAGCTCTGACAGACCACGCATTGTGGGCCATTCTCTCCCATGCCGGATGCACCTTGCATCCAGGAAGCAGGTTCTTGGGTGGCTTTTTGATAGTTGCGTTTGGAGATAATGAGATGCTCGAGGATTTGGGCTTCTTCGTCTGGAGAAAGTTTGCCTGATGGATCTGAGGGGATGAAATTTGGGGGGCGTTGAAGAGTGGATGTTAGGACATGTGCTCGTTCCCTCTGAATGATGTCGCGGTAGCGGGAACGGGTTAGTATTTTATCGCTTGAGAGGTGGAGTGAGAGGGCTTGAGCTTCTGCTCTTTGTTCGGGGTTTCGAGGATGTAGGAGTTGAGCTAGATCTGTTGTGGATAGGGGTGTGTCGAGAAATGGACTAGATTCTCGCGATGGATGAGGTGATCGTTGTGTGGGAGTTCTTTGACCATCCGTGATGGCATCGTCCGACTCCCAATCTCGTTCATCTTCTGTCGAATATGAGATTACACTGGTCATGTCATCTTCAATGTCTTTTTTCTCGGGACTGAATGTCCCACTGTTATCATCACTTCCCCACCAGCCGCCATTCAGCCACCATTGATAGAGACTGGAGTCCAACTCAGTCTCTCTGTGTCGACTCCAATATTCTTGGCTGGTCTTAAGTCGCCTTCTCATTTCTACTTCTACATCTACATGGTCATCTTTGGGTAGAGTCAATTCTCCATCGATATTCAGAAGCCAGAAGTTAAGTGTATCTGGGTCATTTGCTTGCACGGCTGTGCTGGCGGGGTCTCTCTTTGTTCGCGATACAAGCCACAGAAGCCAGCCTGGGCGGCTTTGAATTCCAAGCCAACTCATAAACATCAAGATACATGTTGCCCACCTGCAATCCATAAATTAGCAATTGTCAGCATGTACAGGGGTTTGGCGTGCGCAAAGGTGAGTTTGGAAATAACTAGGTAGTTATTGCAAGCAGGTTTGTGATACCATTCTGCACGTTCCCAATAAAGTCATCCATTGTCAACCTGTTGATGAATGGGAACTTCTGTGAACTACAAACGACGGGAGATTACTTACCAGCTAAGAATTAATCTATTGATTCCAAGAAAGAACTCCAATGCCATTACCCAACGCCCACTGCGCTCTGTAGCACCAACACCATCTCTGACTGATCGCTCTTGTCCTTTGGACTTTGCATTCTTCTGTGCAGTCATCTCGCGCGCATAGGGACTGTTATTCTTTTGTGGAAATACCCTCTGATTACTAGCCGCTACGAGACCAACGTTATGAGGCATATGATCATCTATAGCAAGCTCAGATTCATGAGCTTTAAAACTTGGGCCTAGCCATTGTGCTCCAGTCTCTTCAATCTCACGTAGACGATCATCTTCGAGCCAGGTATTAGGTTTGACGTTTACCCCTCGACTCTCATTCAGATAAACAGCTTCACTAGCCATAGTCATAACAGCAAATCCTGTCCTTAGCAGAGCCGTATAGAAGTCCATGTGCATTGTTATTCGGATACTTGACAATGGGACATTCGCTTGCATGTTATGATGTGCATTGATTACTCTCTGCGAGAAGGATAATCGAGGACGAGGAGTATCTGGCATATTTTGTCCAACTTGAATGTTGGACTCGTCGACACCACTAGCAGGGGCTAATGTAGACAAGATCAATGCAACGCCGTATATGATTGAACATATGATAATACCGCACAAAACGAGAACATGGGGAATAAATCCAATAATACAAACCGTAGGAAACCTCAATAATGCTTGGCTTGAAGGATGATCGAAAGAAAATGACACGAGACTCCATACAATCACAGACATGAATGATATGCCCCAGAATCCGGTACTAAGTAGCCGAAATCTTCCTTGAATATCGAAGATTGCAAGGATGTGACTACTCAAGTGATTCATAACTGAGAGAAACCCAACAAGTAGGACTTCTGGAGTGGTATTTATTTTCTTCATGATCATGGAGCGTGTAACAGCAAATTGAGTAGGTCCAGCATTTGAGTTGTCTTCCGCTGGAATCTTGATCTTGGTAAAGCCAACAATTTGAGCACTAATAGCGGCATCGGCCTCAGCAAAGGCTAATGAGTGTTCGAAGAGCGTCATTCCTGTTTCAGCTGCGACCTGACGACCTGGATGTTGTTAGGTTACATACTTATGGTATACCCAAGCTATCATAGAAAATGAAGGAGAATTTGAACACCATAATCCTCTAGCACTATCTAGAGCATGCAAACAAAAAGATGAATGGAAATCATATGGGGAAGCTTACCTTGAACAGCGCAGGACACTGTTTCGACAAATTGACTGAAGCTAAATGTTTTGAATAAAGGCCATAGAAGTGATAAAGATCCGGAAAGATCGTATGTGGTGGGAATTCCCTCCTCAGAATTGGTCTCGTTCCCCACAGTGTAATTACTGGGAATCATACTCACTGCCAGACATGAGGATGAATCCTTAGCACCAAATAGAAGGGCTTGACTGAACGTATGCAGGGGACCTCCATCCTGGGTGAACAGGAGGTTATGGGATTTTGAAGAATTACCCCACCGTAAGTAACCAAAATCAGGGGATGTCTGGCATTGTATTGATTGCAGCAACCATCTGGCTTGAACGAGAAGTAGTATTATAGGTATTATTCGTAATAGGAAGCGTGGTTTCCATGTAAATTCGAGTGGCCTTCTCGTGCTGGCCATTATGTGCGTGCGATTCAAAACGATGGCCATCACTATACACCCAAGGGCCCATTTGCTTGTGGCATAAGCAAACAAACCCCCGAGACTTCGCGCACTCTCCAAAGAGAATCTTGAGCTTTCCATGATATTCTCTTCCGTCAATGTTTCCGAGCTGGTCTCTACAATCTGTCTTATGCCCGCAACTGCTGCGGCAGTTATCGTTTCTGCGGGATCAGGTATGCCAGATCCAGTAGCCTCTGGGATTATTCGTGCTGCCATCCTTATACCCAATATATTATCAACACTTTCCGGAACTGCAAGAAAGGAACCGAGTTTCATGACCATTCGCGGTCCTGCCAAAGCAAAATCCCTTGCAGATGGCACATATTGCGTAACATTAACTGCGGTCCAGTTCGTCCACGAAGTGATGTCAAATTTTGTACCATTATCGAGCATTGTTGGAGTAGCCATGATAAGCTAAGATTCGAATCAATGCAAACGGCTTAGGTCGTCACAAAGAGATAGGTAATTAGTCGATGTTTCTTGGTCTCACCGGACCATCAAAAAATCCAGATAAAGAGCATCCTCCTGGGCTAAAAGGAAGAAGAATATGACTGAGATGTTGACAGTCAATAAAGTTAATGTCGAAAGGAGAAATCCAAACATCCCCATGGACATATTATTGATTGTCTGATGCGACCTCATTTAATGTTTCGGAATACGTTGTTCCGGCCGATTCTAGAATGCAAGGTGCCGTAGTGATATTCAAAAGAAGCTTAATAAAGGTTACACATTATCGGAGGTGGGAGGGGTGAAAGAGATGAAACTCTGATTAGTACTTCGACATCATTAACCTCCATAGATCAAAATGCAATGTATTGGAATACTGAGAGGCTTTTGATTGGGAGGCTGCTTTCAAAAATTATCACATAGTTCATACATTGGTCTTGAAGGCATCACTTGGATTCGACAAATGCAATTGAAGTTCATTTTCGATTCATTTTTCATTGATAAGGTAGATATATCATTCTTGAATTACATGCCACCCCATTCTATACAGAAGGTTCTTACTCCATCGTTTTTCTCCTCATCAGATTTCTTCTCAGGACTTTCGCCACCAATCAAGAAGCCTTTTTTGACACCAGTACCTAACCTACCACCTCCAACTATGTCCAGCAACCGGATTTCTTCATCCCATTCATAACCTGTCGCTACGAAGTGACTATGAAAGCGTAAAGGATCTCCTGGATATACAGTATAGTCGCACCCGAATCGGAGACCAGGTGTCATGAAGTAGTCACGAGAGTGCAAGTGAGCAAACAAAGGATAAGATGAAGGAACGGATGGATCTGAACTTGATGGAAATGTTTGGGGTGAAGATGATGAGAGATTTGAAACAGTTGGTGTGATACCCCAAGATTTCGTGGATGAGGATGCGACAGAAGAAGCTCTAGAGGCAGGGCGTTCATCCTCGAATAAAGGGTCTGAATCATTGGAGATAGCATCTTGAGGATCATTACTTGCACGAGATGTACTTGGTAACGATCCAATCCCACCTTTCAAAGCTTTCTTTGCTAAAGCATTCTCAGTGCGCTTCCTGGCTTCAGTATCGGCAGCCCTTTTTGCTTTGAATGCCTCGGTTTTGAGGGACTCTAGGTATTTCTTCCTGTCCAGGCCTTCCAGCGAACCGAAGTTTTGTTTGTGCCAAGGGGTATCCTCAACAATGTACGCAATCTTCTTATCGACGAGTACTTTGGCCTCTTCTGGTAGTAACTCGACTGGTAGGCCAAGGAACAAGTTCTGTTGTGGAATCTGCGGAATGGTGCCAGTCAAAACACCACAGATATGGTAAGTCCTACGAAGGTGAGTCACGACATCTATGTCGAATAGCAAATACCGGCCAGCATTGAATGATATGGCAACGGGTTCTGGAACAATGTTCGGAGACATTTTGAATTGGAGCTCAAGACTATAAGTTACTTTATCATGTTAGTAATGATTCTATTGTCAAATGGTAGAATGTACAATGATAAATTTGAGGTTCGATGAATCATGAATTAAAACATATTTTAAGACATCATGTCCAGATAAATCTGGTTGTCAGGGGATTGACAGATCGGTTTTGTAATCATATCGAAAAGAGAGGAGATGAAGAGATTGCACAAATGTCACTTACCAAAGGTTGTTGAATTGCTGTCGACTTCCCTTCAGTTAAGAATTGTGGAAGATTGAAAGGTTTTAGATCGAAGAATGTTTTAATCTTTTGTGCGAAGAGAATTAAAAAGAGCTTCTCACTAGCTTGTGCGCTAGCTTAGGTCATTCGACTAAACCTTTTCCGGAAACCATGTGAGCCTGAACAGGTCTCAGGCACCAAGAACACGTGAGAGGACCTGAGCACTCGGTGGACCCCTAGAGTCAAAAGGGTATCTCCATACTTCGTACGAGTACACTTTCATTAATGTCGTCTTATGTGCCAAGCTTATCCTTGGGCCACTCTCGAGCCACTCACTGTATGACTGTCATATCCGAAAGTTCTTAACCCTTACCAAGCTGGAGCCCCTTTCAAGATTTACAGCTGATGTAGGTAATTTATTAGGTATCCTGTCGAGGTAAAAAGTTAGATAACTGGTGAATTAATAATAAAACTTCCCATTAACTTGCTGAATCAGCCATAATCACACCTACCTACCTACCTAGGTAGACAGATACCTACATAGAGACATATTTAAAATAAGCTCAACATTGGCGTCTAATCGCTTAAATTAAAGTATGGCTCCTTCGACGTTTCAGACTTTCAGTGATGGGTTTGCTGGAGTAGCCGTTCATAAGATAGATATGTATACTATCCAGTAGGCAGGTAGGTCTTGATTAGGGAGGTAGGGTCAATCAATGAAAGATAAACTCTATGGATGCGTCTTTTCTTCATGGAATGTCCAATTTTATTAGACGTCAAGAAAAGAGCAGACTTGATATCGTTCTTCCATACTTCGTACAGTATCTTCTTCAATTGTGAGTTGAAATGAATGAAAATGACAATTGATTATTATTCCATCTTACTCGTACAGTACCAACAATTACATGATTCATTACTATGTAGATATGATTGGTACATACAAATTCTAAGTTCAATTACGTCGTATAGAATCCCCTGTGAATTGTCTTCCGTCTGTAGGGAAGTTGTGGCTAAGGTTCTTTTTTGGGTTTGAAGCAAGTTCCACTCAAGGAACACGAATCCACTCAGCAATCCCCCCTGCTCTCTCAGAAGTTAGAGATGCTCATACTTTGAATTAAAGTATTCTATTCTGATATACACAACCTTCAAATTTCCACAACCAACTGTCAACATTGACATTCGGCCATCTGGGTTCATTGTAACTCTTTTGATTGTTACCCTCTTATGCATCTGCATCCTCACCCAAAATGATGCCCAGGCATCAAGCAACCGCATATTCTAATGGATATCCTCGCAAGAGCGATCCATACTCTAAGAGCGACACATACTCCATATCACCACATAGGTTCGTGCAGATCGAATTGAATACCCAAACTCATCGCCACAATTGTGCATTTCATCTACTAACAACCTTTTGAATACAGGTTCCAGCCAAGGACGTCACCGCCAGCGCTGCGCCGCCGAAGGCAGCTTCTCGTTCGTTTGACTCTCGTCTTAGTATTCGCATTAGTAGTTGGACTGTTTATATGGCCTGGTGCCGCGGTCCTTCCAGTATTATCCTTTGGCCTCATATCCTCAGGGGAGGACTTTCAACTCGAAACCGTTCGATATTACGATCTTTCAAATGTACAAGGGACGGCTAGAGGTTGGGAGAGAGAGGAGCGGATCTTACTTTGTGCCCCCCTTCGTGATGCCGAGCCCCATTTGCCAATGTTTTTCGCGCATCTTCGTAATTTTACATACCCGCATCATCTTATAGATCTTGCATTTTTGGTCTCTGATTCCAAGGACAACACCCTATCTTTGCTCTCGGAGCTTTTGGAGAAATTACAAGCCGACGAGGACCCAAAACAACCATATGGTGAAATATCTATCATCGAAAAGGATTTTGGTCAAAAGGTCAACCAGGATGTAGAGAGTCGTCATGGTTTTGCTGCACAAGCAAGCCGAAGAAAGTTGATGGCACAAGCTAGAAATTGGCTTTTAAGCGCTGCATTACGTCCTTATCACAGCTGGGTCTACTGGAGAGATGTGGATGTCGAGACCGCACCTTTCACAATTCTAGAGGATCTGATGCGTCACAATAAGGACGTCATCGTACCTAGTGAGTGATGGTGTGTAATTTCTGTTACAATTGGCTAATGAGTTTTAGATGTTTGGCGACCATTGCCAGATTGGCTTGGAGGAGAGCAACCTTATGATTTGAATTCATGGCAAGAGTCCGAAACAGCCTTAGCCTTAGCTGATACTCTTGACGAAGATGCAGTTATTGTGGAGGGATATGCGGAATATGCGACATGGCGTCCCCATCTTGCGTACTTGAGAGATCCATATGGTGACCCTGATATGGAAATGGATATCGATGGTGTTGGAGGTGTTAGTATTTTGGCCAAAGCCAAGGTTTTCAGATCCGGTGTCCATTTCCCTGCCTTTAGTTTTGAAAAGCATGCCGAGACTGAGGGATTCGGAAAGGTTCGAAACTCTTTCTACTCTTTTGTTATGCTCATGCTAATTAAAAGAACAGATGGCAAAACGAATGAAGTTCTCGGTAGTTGGATTACCTCATTATACTATTTGGCATTTGTATGAGCCAAGTGTGGATGACATTCGTCACATGGAGGTCAGTTGCATAATATTGGACTTTCGACAAATCACTTACGATTTTTAGGAAATGGAACAAGAGCGCATTGCTCGCGAAAATGAAGAAAAGGAAAAGGCAGAACGTAATAAGAAGATGAAGGAACAGTTTGATGATCCAACTCCACAATGGGAGAAGGATAAGAACGTCATCGCAGATGAAGCTCTCAAGGAGAAGAAGGAGAAGGAGAAAGCTGAAGTTAAAGCTAAGGAAGACGATGGTGCTGCAAAAGCTCCAGACTCCAAGGCCGAAGAAAGTAAGCCAAAGGACAAAGTAAGAATGTTATAAAACTCAAGTGTTGGCATCATTGTTGACTGGTTTAGGTACAATAACCGAATTCATTTGATGGGCGTATAAGGAAACTTGGTTAAGTGAGTAACACGCATTAGCTTTTGGCTGGGCCAGTTCTTGACAAGGCTACGAGGATATTTAGAAAATGATCACAACTCGACGAACTATTTCTATCTTATGGGTTGAGAGAGGGGAAAGGCATTCTTGATGCTGAATCGTAAATACGGGGGTGGCCTTTCAGCACTTGAGTCTTAACTTTGAAGTGTAATCTAGGATGGAGTTCTTGTAAAAACACACAGCAGTATTATAGAATTGAATTATTGATTAACAACCCATCTTGGGAAACATCGAAGCAGTATCTTTTCTGCTTTCGTTTTGCTTCTTGAAATTTCATTTCATCTTGTCTTGGGTAACCTTGAGGTTATTTGGCTATCAGGTCAAAGAACACAGTATCGCTACTCGGGTATCCGTAGTTCTGCCATTACAGACATCTGTGCTCTTCGAATTTATGTACCTGGTAAAGTATAGCCTACAATGACATCGTAGGTATTTACTTTTGATATCCAATCTAGTTGACATTTTCGTATTTGTACAATACATACAAATAGTTCTTTTGTTTTTTGCGACTCGAATCTATTCCAATAGAATTCCTTGTATCGTTCAAGATTGACAACACCTGCGCGTGGTTCACATTGGCGAATAGTCCTTATGCTGTGCTCGGTGGGTAATCGACATACAACATGAGCAATAATGCCCCAACACAAGATATAGCTTCGGCTACCTCTCCCAAACGTCATTCAACATCTTCTACAGCTTTGCGCCAAAGCATTGATAGTGTCGCCCCGCAACGACTTAATGGTAGCATGGCCTCGAATACTAGTATGATTTCAGTAGCTGTCGACCCTGTCACCCTTATCATTCAAGAATGTCGTGCTGTTACTTCTGCCATGCGGAAACATCCTCGGTGGGCGCATTCATCAGCTTCTTCTATACTGGGTGGGCATTCAAGTCCGTTGAGCGCGGGGGTTCAGAACTCAAGGCCTTCTACGCCGCGAGATGATCCAGGAACTCGCAGGGCGCCGAAAGGTTCAGCGGCCTCAGAAGGGAATGATGATGCAGGCTTGGCAATCAGATGGGGTTTGAGGGGGAAGAAAGGGAAGAGCATGCAAGATAATCCTCTGATGACTGGATTTCAGCGTCTCAGACAGGAATTGACCGGATGCAAAGGTAGGCAACATAAATCACTTTTGAGCTGGGCACAACTGATCTTATGATTCTTCTACTGCTAGATATACACACATTCGATGCACCATCTTTACTCCATCCTTTTCTCCAAGTTATGGTCATCGAAAATCCCGCAACGCCGTCGCCGATCACAACTTTAGCCCTGGCTGCTATCATAAAGTTCTTCTCGTACAACTTAATTAGTCCAAGCTCCCCTCGACTCTCACAGGCAATGCAGTCTTTATCTGCTGCCATGACAAATTGCCGGTTTGAAGCTCGAGATACAGTGGCTGAAGAGAAGGTATATCAAAAAATATTGAAACTGATGGAAGGAATGCTGTCTGGCCCCGGTGGAGATTTACTGAGTGATGGAAGTGTTTGTAAAATGATGGAGACGAATTTGAATATGTGTTGTCAGCCACAGCTATCAGAGTTATTTCGTGGGTCTGCCGAAATGACTATGGCAAAGATGTGTCAGATCATTTTCGAGAGACTGAAACATTTAGAAATTGAGGCTGGGGATGATCTAGAAGCTTTAGACGAGAAGACAAAGGAAGATATGGACACTGTGAAAATGGCCCCTTCAGCAGCGAGTACAAGTGCTATCACGAAATTGGCCGCATC